GGTCTCGACCCCGCGGGCTCAGGCAATCCACTCACCTCAGCCTCCCGAAGGCGCGGGATGACAGGCTGAGCCACCGAGCCCAGCGTCTGACTCTTCTTTGGCTTTTGTTTTGCTCTGAAAGTTGCCGTTGACTTGGAAGCGGAGCGTAATCAACTGGGGAAGGGAGGCAGGGTGAGAAGCGCGGCCAGTTAGGGACCCAGGGCGGCGGAGACAGGTGGGCCAGACCGGGGCCCCCCCTGCACTCACTGGAGCCGGAGTCCGCTTGAGGGGCTTTTCTGTGACCCGCTTCTGCCTTTGGAAGTAACTCAGTAACACGTCTTGATCTTCTCGCCCTGTCCGCGCCTCACACAGCCTGGCTTCTCGGCGGGGAGGAAGGAGGAGGAGCGCTTGGCCGCCCGCGCCCTTCGCAGCCTCATGGTACTGCCTGCCTCTGCCCGTCGGTGTCCTTTCCATTTGTGTCTTTCGAATTTTTGAATTTTGCTTTTTGCAGCGCTGAACCTTGTGCTCTGCCGTTCTCTCTCCTGTGTGTCTTTACAATTGATATTGCACTGTCTTCTCCAAAGTGTTTGTCACTGAAAACTTCTACCAAGTGTTTCCTTTTTAGCATGTCAGTATTTTCATTGTGTTGCCTTCCTTGTCTTTGATGACTACCTGTGGACTCTTTGAAACCTTCATGGTAAATTCTCTTTTGCCCCCCTGTAGTCCCTCCATTTCAAGGACTAAAACAGTCTTGCGTTAAGCAAAAACCTGCAACCAGAGCGGAAGGAAGACTTCAAAAACGGAAAACTGCGACAGGGTTTAGCACAATTTGAGAACAAAACTAAACTGCAGAAGCCTTAGTTGTGTTCCACCTAAGAAGTTGACTCCACGAAGAACACGTCCACTGGAGTGTGTATAATGAACTGAGTTTGGGTGAAAGCGAATGACTCAGAGAAGGGCCCAACTCTCAAGCGTAAGGACAAAATGGCTGTTGTAAATTTCGTCTCAGGTGTAAATACCCACGCCCTCTGTTGTCCGGAGAGCGGGCTGGTCTGTGGTGCACGTGCGTCCTGTGATGGCAATCATCGTAGCCCTGGCCTTCAGAAGGACTGCAGATCTGCTGGAGGTTTTTAACGTATTTATTTTCTGTTCACCCTGTGACCGTGTGTCAGAATTCATAAAGATAACAAAAGCATTACTGAAATGGGACTTTAATTTGACACTATTTGGCTTAATCATGTTGACTTGACTGTTTGTGATACTGTTGTAATGTCTCGTAACAGTTCACTCTGTTAAGTACCCAAGCTGCTTGTCTTCCACCAAAGAGTGCTTTATTAACAAGAATCTCTGAAGATCACATTTAAACACTGTTGCATGTTGTAATACAAAGTGGCACTTTGGTAACCTAAAACTTGCAAGAGAATATTCGTGGTAGCTTTAGGAGACTCAGGAGGAGAAACCGACTTCAGAGCTGGAAGATTGTTGTTAAGTCATTCCTTTTTTTAAATGTTCATTTAGGGACTGAAGAGCTGTGAGGCTGCCCATTGTTTGGCTGTTCAGTTGTACAAGTTAAAATCACAATTCCTTCCCTGCATGGAAAAACACGTGCTAGTTTTTCCCCATGGAAACAGCAGTCCCAAATAATGGTAGCTTAAAAAAAAAAAATTATCTCTTTTTTAGCGTCTCTCTCTGCAGCATCGGGTTTTTTTTCCTTATGTAATCAGCCTGAGACAGTTCGCCGCCGCACCCTTTAATTTCAGTGGCAGCAATTTGCTTCTGGATTTCAGTTGTCCATAGTGCAGAACTCACTGTTGCCTTTGGTTAGGGAGTACAGCTAGCGACTCTGCAGAGTGCCTTCTCCCCTCAGCTCTGCTGAAACACAGCAAAATCTGTGGTGTAAAGCAACCACAAAACCAGAACTTATTTGCTGCTAAAAAAAAAAAAAGAAAGAAAAAAAAATGGGGTCCAAAAGGAAAGAACGTTTTGTACTCACCTTGCTTCTTTCGTGAGAAGTGGATGGTTTGTACTGTCCACCCATCACTGCCCATGCAGGTTTGAAGCCTGGAGGGACCCCGTGGAGGGCAGGAGCCCCCCAGCGCCAAGAAGAATGTTGTCAGGTCAGTGGGCGATTCCACTTTAAGCAGCTGCCTCTTTCCCGCTTCCTTTGAAACTGCAAAGTGAGCAGAATACGGAGGTGATCGTCTTTCATGTAAGAAGTAACTGAAGGGCGGGGCAGGTCTTCTTTCCTCCCTGGGAGTGAAGTGTGAAGTGGCTGGCACCGGGGAGGCCGGAGACAAGCACCTCTCTCCTCGCCAGCCACCGTGGGGCAGGGTCACGCCAGCTTTTAAACCCTGGGGACTAGATCACAGGAAAACAGCCGTTTTTCTGTCCCCAGAAGTGAACAGGCACAAAGACCCATTTGCCTGTGGGAAGACCCCTGCGGCAAGGTTTGGGTGGGAGGGGGGAACATCCCTTTTGCTGTGTTCTGCAGAGACCAGACTCAATATTGAAACCATGCCCGTGCACAAAACGTCGAACTCTCAGGGCAACGCTTCCCTTTCCCCCCTTTAAAGCTGTTCCCTCCAGAAACAATCTAGGTGATTGGGAAGCTCTCACTGTCATCGGTTTGTCTTGCTTTGGCTCTCCACCGCGTCAGAACGAGGCAGTGTGTTGCCCGCTGGGCCTCTGGCTGGCGCTGTCCCTGCCTCGGCGAGTGAGCCCTTGGTCTCTTGGCCAAGAGCAGAATAGTCTGGGCGTCAGCCGAACCACAGCTCTTTTCCACACTGTAAAGGCTGTTCGTGTGGGCTGCTCAGGTTTCCAGCCAGAATGGCTGTCACCATGTCCCTTTCTAAGAACCCTTGTGTGTCACTGGCTTGCTGAAGCGAGGTGTGGGAAACTGGGACTTGGTGGCGAAGCCTCCCGGGAAGGCCAGGGCCGTGGCTGGGCTGTGGCGGGGCCTCAGCCGGGCTGTCCGCTGCAGCGTTCAACTGACGGGGACGGGCCTGGAGCCCAGGAAGCCTGGGTCCGACAGGTGGATGGAAAGTTCTCTCTGCCGTGCAAGAGAGAGGCCTCTCCTCCCCCCTCCTTCCTCCGCCCCTGCTGAGGCCACGGAACACCCAAGAGTCTTCTGGGAGTCTGACTTAGAGTCCTTGTGGGAGAGGACCTTGCTGCTGTGGAGGAGGATACTGTGGGTCAGATTTCCTCGACTTCAGAGCCTTAAATAGCTCTGGAAGCACACCAAGATGGTTTCCAATGGGATTAAATTAGAAATGAATATTTTTAGGTGCTCTTGAAGCTCTCTGAGGCCTCGGGAGTCAGAAACTGCACAGAGGAAGAGTGTTTGCAAAACTGCGTTCCTGGGGGTGTGGACAGACGTGTGATTCGCAGCGTGAAAGAGAAGCTAGAACTCTGACCTGTCAGTGCACGGGGCAGACGGTGTGGCAGAGCCTCATCCAAGCCCAGAGCCGTGCCTGGCTGGAGGCCACTTCCCCATGGCGTGCCGCTCTGAGGTCGAGCCCCATAGCCTGTCGCCCACCCCCCTCTTCCCCTGCCCTCCTAGCCCTCTCACAGGGGTGACTGCTACCTCTTCTTGGGCCCAGATGAGTTTTAGAGGCGTTCCCAAGTGTTCTCACAAGGCCAGCGTGTTTTCTTCTGGGGCAGCATGGGCTAGGCATGTGTGTGTGGCCCGTGGGCTTTGAAGGGTGTGCCAGGGCTCCCCTGGGGTCCTCCCACCCCTTGCCTGAGTCACCATCCCTGCCCAGGAGCAGAGCCCTCATTGGATGTCTGCTCTTAATGTAGCTCGACTGTGCTTCGCTTTCTGCGTTTTTAAAAATACGGTCTGCGTTCTAGAAAGCAGTGCTCATCCAAACAACCTTACAAACCTACCTTACTATTTCTTGAATAGTTATCTCCCACTGGAACTGTCCCGGGAAGCTAAAGCTGCCCTTTCATTTCTTCACATCTGCGTCTTCTCCGCACCACTAAGTGGAGATACTCAGTTGTGTGCAAAAACTGGACGATTCGCCTGTGCGGGTAGGAAACTGACTTCCTGCGTTCCCTGGTAGAATTAATGTCAGCAGACACGTCCGTCCAATGATCGTGCTGCAGTTTTATATGAATAATTTGCAGACTTTTATCTAACCTGCACTCATGTACAGATTAATAAGAGTTTTAAAACATAGCTGATTAATCAATATTTGATCAATCATTGTCTTGATTTTTTTATTACAATGTATATTTCTAATCATATTTTTTAAAGCCGAGAGAACTGGTTGAATGAATGTTTATTTTCCTGAAGGTATTTTTAAGATGAAGCTTCATAATGCCTTGTAAACTTTGCATATATATGTAGTTTGATACATATTGTCACCTTTGAAAATCTTGTGTATTGTAACTGGTTTTATACAAAATATGGAATAGTGGAAATTGTATAATTACAACCATGATTAAAAGTATTAACCAAACAGCCTTTTTTTAAGTTTTGTTCACTGACTGGGCCTCCTGAGCTGTGGCAGGCAGTGGTTAGAATAAGGAGCAGAGGTGACCTGGGATCTTTGTTGATCGGCCAGGGCTGCTGTGACGAACACCACACTGGATGGTGTAACCAGAAGTCAGTTTTCTCACAGGCCTGGAAGCTAAAGGCCAAGCTCAAGGTGTCGGCAGAGTTGCGTTCTCCCAAGGCTCTCTCCTGGTCATGCAGATGGCTGCCTTCTCGCCTGGCCCACACTTGGCCTCTCCTCTATGCCTGTGAAGCCCTGGTGTCTCTTCTCTTCTAATTCATGAATTAGCTTTTTTTTCTAGTTGGTTTCATTCTGTCACTCAGGCCGGAGTGCAGTGGCACAATCACTCCGCAGCCTTGACCTCCTGGCTTCTGGCGATCCTCCCTCCTCAGCCTTCTGAGTAGCTGAGACCACAGGCGTGCATTGCCACTGCCGCTCACTTTCTTCTTTTTGGTAGAGATGAGGTATTGCTGCGTTGCCCAGGCTGGTCTCAAACTCCTGGCCTCAGGGCACCTTCCCGCCTCGGCCTCCCAAAGCGCTGAGATTACAGGTGTGAGCCGCTGTGCCCAGTCCCTGGTGTCTCTTATCTGACTCCTCTGATGAGGACACCGGTCATATTAGAAGGGGACCCACCCTGCGACCTCGTTGGCTTGAACCTCCTTTTTTAAGGCCCTGCCTCCAAATGCACATGCATCCTGAGGGACTGGGGTTAGGCTTCAGCGTCTGAGCCTGGGGCATCCGAGTCAGGGTACGAAGGAGGCCGAGGGAGGACTCCTGCTGCGGTCACTCCACACGCACCCTGCCACCCGCTTGCACGATGCAAAGGTTTGACTTTCCAGAGACCCCTGGAGGGTAAGAGTCGGTGAGTCAAGCCCGCCACGGACAGTGGGCTCTTGGCCTTACCTGCCCGGCCGGGCGGGGCTGGGATCCACAGCCTGCTGCCTCACCAGGCCGCCGGCCCCGGGGCCCTCCGCTGCCTTCCCTTCTGGTCCTAGCCGGACGGGACCCAGAGTCCCGGCTCCACCCTCACCCCGAGCTTGGGTCAGGGACTGAGGACCTGGCTCTGTGGAGTTGGGTCCGGCTCCCCGAGGAGCTGTGCGTTGACGCACACTGGGATAAAGCTTCGAGGCAAAGGCTGGCGGGGCCTGTCTCCGAGCTCCTCTCCGAGCTCCTGTGTGACCCTGGGACTGTGATGTTTGCAGGCTCTGTCCCCTGGAGAGCTGCGGCCTCTGAGGGCCCCTCGGGGGTTCCCCTGGGGTCAGGGCTGGGAGACTGTCCCTCCTCCTGACCCGCTGGCGTGTGGGTGGTCGGTGCAGGCCGAGCACCGTCAGGTCTCAGTGCAGGGAAGGGCCGGGTGAGGGGCGAGGCCCTGAGGCCTGCAAGGCTTCAGGCGAAACCAGGGACACGTCTTCCTCACTGCAGGGGCCGCTTCTTCCAGGGCCGTGCCGTGGGAGTGGCGGGTCATGGGAACCCCCGACCCTGTAGACCCTCGTCCCTCTCCCTGCCATCTGGGTCTATGCTGCCCGGTGCCCATCGAGCTCGCAGTCTGCTTCTTAAGTAAAACAGGAACAAATGATGCTTCCCTCAGCAGTTGGCGTGAGCCTTCAGAGAGATAATACCAAGCCCTTAAAACAGTAGCAGGCACAGAGCTTTCAATCTGGTGTTTTCTCACACGTTCTACGCCATTTTCTCCAGATAATTAGGCAATGGACTGATTTTGATAAAGGGTTTTGGTCCCTTGATTTTTCTGTTTTTATTTTTTTGTTTTTTGATAACTGCACATAATTTTATGCCCATGTAATGGTATAAACATTTTTTCCCCCTTTTTTGAGTCAGAGTCCAGCTCTGTTGCCCAGGCCGGAGCGTAGTGATGAGATGGTGGCTCGCTGCAACCTTGACACATCCTGGGTTCAGGCAATCCTCCAGCCTCAGCTTTCTGAGTGGAGGGACTACAGGTGGGCACACCTGGCTAATTGCCTTCTTTTTTGGTAGAGACGAGGTCTCCACATACTGCCCAGGTTGGTCTTCCCTGGGCTCAAGCAATCCTTCCACCTCCGCCACCCAAAGTGCTGGAATTACGGGCATGAGCCACCGCGCCAGTCCTGAGGGAGTCTCTGGAGGGGTTTGATCAGAGAGGAGGCAGGGTAGGTGACTGAGGGGCAGAGACGGCCCCTTCCGTGGCCCATCGGGTGACAGAACCAAGTCGGTGCAGAGCAAGTCCCAGCCACATGTGTTCGGCCCTGGCTCTGCCACCCCTGCTGTGGCCTTGGGACCCCGTATGTGTCTCCTGGGCTTCCAGTGAGTGCAGAGAGTTTAGTGGAACCAAGCCGTGGCCGCGCTGAGTGTGTTTCCCGGTACCCCACAGTCAGCGTTCTGTGCCTTCTGTCCTCTGTGCGTCCAAGTGCCACATTGTGTGTCACTGGAAGGTGGCGA